AGTGTGTGTGTGTGTGTGTATTTGCATACTATACAGTATTTATCAAAGTGGTGAACTAATATGGTAGAGTTTGTCACCAGGCCATTTTAGCTGATGTAGGCAGTGAATCTTGTCAAGTACCCAGTGTCCTGTCATACAGCACTTGCAAAATTAAGATTAAGGTGAACTTGGAAGGCTGAGCATCTCTCAGAAGGCGCTGAGCTCTTCGCAGTGGGCCCTTTCTTTGCTGCTCTAGGATGTTAAATTCTCTTGGTGTTTGGTGTTTTGCTTGATTGATACGCGATCGAGGTGTAGCCGTTTGTACGCCAGAAGCAGGCCCTTCATCTGGATGCTTCCAGGGTGAGCTCAAGGACTGTTTGGCTGGAGATGCTGGATTCTTTTTGAAACATGAAACATCAACTCCTTAAAATTAGTACAATGAATCACGGTGATAAATACTGACAATTTCCTTTGCATTATCCCAATAATGGAACTTTCTTTCTGAATGTGTAAGATTAGACCTTGATTAATACATTTTCACCTAAACCCTTTTCTAATGATCAAACAAGCTACATTTTATTAAATTAATTCAGAAAGCATACTGAATGGACAGACCCTTCTCATTCTGCTTTACTGGTAAAAAGACATATATGAAACACTTCTTGATGTCAAGCTTATTTTATGGCTCTGAGGACAGATACGTGACAGTTTTCTAAAACATATGAAAAAGATCAATAGAAGCAGTAAGAGACAAAAGTAATATAATAAAATTTGCCCTGTGATATATTACACTTTTGAAAGCATCTCTCGCATCCCCAGATGATTCTGTGCTAAATAAATATTCTTGTTGCCATTTTCCTGCCCTGCTTCCTCAAGGCTAGACTCTTCAATATTTTTAGTGCACCATTTTAAGCCAACTGCAGCTGTCTAGTGACCTAATACTAAGCATGGCAAAATAGGGCACAAGATTTCTCCCACAAACCAACTAAACATCATCTTTCAAAAGTCAATTCAACAGTTAAAACTGTAAAACCAAATGGACATTTACTTTGAGAAATGACATGACATATCATATTATTGGAGTTTTTTCTTTGCACTGCATCAACGTGCTTACTATACTCACTTTTTTTTCCACAAATGGGTATAAAATAATTTGTATTTATAAGCATAACACTTAAGTTACAATTTTATATATTTTAAAGTTCAGTGGAGCTATCAAAACAAATCAGATGGAAGAACACTGCAATCATTACAAAGCAACACAGAGAAGATGTGAAACTTCTGACCTGCTTCCACTTTGACTGCTACACTATGGCTCACAATTTCTTTAGAAATTAGTTATGCCTCATCAATCTTAATTTAAGAATAGAGAAACATGTTCCAGAATCACAATAGAAGCACTTTCCCTTGCCTGATCTATTATCACTACATTAGAAAGACCTTGATTCAAATCCCGTTGAACTCAATGAAAAAAAATACTGAATTCAACAGACAGTGGATACAACCTTAGCTCTGTTTGACCTGAGCACAGTATAGGGAATATCCAGCCAACATAAAAAAAGTTTTCTAGCTGGTTTACAGTTCTCTGTAAGGCCTTCCAGCCTGTCCAAATGCACTCCAGACAAGTTCAGCACAAGACTATTTGGACTCTACCCTAATGGAACACGTATGCAGTTCACACTTCTTGCTTTACCCTGTAGCACTGACAGGTGCCTCCACCAACAGAACACAAGTCTCTTCACCTGTAAGAAACATTCTGTCCCGATGTGAAAGATTTACTCTATATTGCTCAATGAGCACTACCTAGCATCTTCAAATAATCCTATGTTATTAAAAACACCAGAATGTTGGATAAGCTGTAAGAAAACTAGGTCTAAAATCTTAATAAAACATTATGGTAGTTCTCTATTTGAGAAACACCATCTTTTGAAATTTTAAAGAAACTGTAAGAAAGCATTTTTAGTTGTGGCTGGAAGCGAGGAGGTTGCTTTGGTGCAATCATAGCTTCTATAACGTTACATTCAGCAACATTTTTCTGAAGGTTGCTGGTACCTTAACGCAAACATAACTGTAACCAGATGCATGTTTTGACAGCTGCACAAAATATGCAATAGTAAATCAAGGATTTACTGACAGCATTCAGTTATCTTCAGATACGTTACAGAGAGGGAGAAGAAAACATAAAACAAAATGACAATGAGTTTTTCTGGTCTGGGTCAAGGATGTGTAAAGACATGTAAGGTCTCTTAATATAAGTAGTGTATCTTTTAACAGGCACACTAAAATATGGGTGTTTTTTATTATTGACAATATTACTTTTCTGGTACACTGCAGATAACAACCACAGTGGTATTTCTAAAAACATTTGCTAATGGGCTTTTGCATCATCTTTCAAATCTCACTTATTCTACCAAGATACTCCATCCAAAATAAAATGTCTTTTTCGAAGCAGGATTGCATTCTATTGACCAACACCATAAGGGAGGGAATTGTTATCTCCAGACATCAGTCCTCTGACCACACAAAAGGAAGGACTTGGCAAGTGAAGTTTTCAGAGCTCATCCACAAGACCCATCCAGACTTCACTCTTTATCAAGAAAGATGCCATGCCAGATACAGACATTTCCCCATTAAGGAAGAGAATTAAGAGTTAATCTCAATTTACAGAATCTAGTTTACCTTGCAGTCTCCAACAGACAAAGGTTTGAATTCACTAAAGGCACTGCCAAGAAGGCAATCAGGAGATGAAAAGCCCTGTATCCCAATAGTAATGTCCCCAGGGCATTCTGTCTCATTCAAATTAAATTTATATAAGGGAAAGCAAGAGTAACAAAGCAAACAATACAGTGGGGTTTGGAGACATAGGAAAAGAGAGAGCCAAACACACTGCTAAAACATACCACACTAAATCACAGATTCTCCTAGGGCTGGATAACTTTTGCACTCTTGTACTACTTCTGACCTTTGCATTTCTTGGATTAAAAAGAGAATGCAAGTAACGATTAATAGGACACAATTAATCTCAGTGCTTATCTACATTTTAAATGAGAGTGTTTCAGTAGCTAAAATATTACCATAAAAGCAGAGTTTTCTTAAAAAAAAAAAAAGTCGATTTCTAGCAACTATTTTCATTTCCCAGTGGCAAAAGATACATTTGTCTCAACATCTGCATTTCTCTAAAATGATCTCACCAACTAAGTTTCATTCTGAAGTCTAAGGCTCATCCAGAAGAAAAAAGAATGCCACGCTCAGTATTTAAAGCCAGGGGAAGGAGGAGGAAGGGGGGCACACATTTGGAGTTATGGCATTTGTCTTCCCAAGTAACCATCACACGCGATGGAGCTCTGCTTTCCTGGAGACGACTGAACTGCCTGAAGCAGTGAATGAACTCCTTGTTTTGCTTTGCTTGAACGTGGGCGTTTTGCTTTATCTCAGCCCCCCAGTTGTTGGGTTTTTTTTGCCCTTTTCTCCCTCCCCTTCTGGGCAGCGGGGGGAGGCAGGTGAGCGAGCAGTTGTGTGCTCCCAGTTGCTGGCTGGAGTTAAACCTCAACACACAGAAACTTCATTTTCAAATCAGAGATTGCTTTTGCTCAAGCTGGTGTGACAGCAGGTGTGATGTGCATCACCATCAGCCTTATAATCATCATAATACATTGCTTTTACGTAAATCCTTTCATCTCAAGCTTTTACAGATTATGAACAATTAAGCCTTACAACCCCCCAGCGAGGGAGACGCATTAAGAACCTGAACCTGCCAGGCACTTTGTCAGAACGGAGTTAACTACAGAAATATAATTTAATAAAGAACACATTTAACAAGTAAGAGCAGAAAAGCAAATATAATCTTTGTGTGTATAATCTTTGACTGAGCCAAGAGCGTTTTAGAAACCCAAGGGCCCACACTCTCTGCTCGTGTCAATTAGTAAATCTATATCAATTTACACAGCGACTAAGAATTTAGCCCCTAAATTCTTAAGCTACAAGACTCCAAGGAGTGCATCACTGTCACAATTGATAAGACCATACTGCTGACTTGTGTCTTACATATACACACAATGACATCAATATTTTAGCTAATATCTGCAAAGTATGCACAACTCGGGCTTGAGTTTCTGCCACCTGTTCCCTCTCTCTGCTATTTTTCTACCGAGAACTCACTGGGTAGTAACACGCCGAGGAAAGGTAAAGGAAGATGAGATACAGATTCTCAGTTGCTTCTCACAAAGCAACGCCCCCTCGGTCACAAATCTCACTTCAGTGACTCTGCACCCGTGCACTCTGTATTTTGCTGTATGGGCCCGATCACAATGTCATGTGCTTTGAGAAATCAAAGTAATGGATCATCTCTACAACTGGCTTGAGCGTGCCTTGGAGGGGCTGGAACTTGTCACAAGAGCACTACTTAAAGCTTGGCGTGTCTGGCCAAAATTGTCTTCCCCAGTGCACGCAAAACTTCCCAGATAGTGTTTGTTTGCCTCACAACCTGTTAATAGCACTTCAGCAGCACCACAGAGGATATGCCACATAGATTTTTTGAGTACTTTGGATTCATTTAGAATAAGGTTCAACATAAATGTGAAATGTCCTTCTTATGCTTTAGGCTGGTAACGGCACACAGCACATTCTTCATGTAGAAAAAATAAAGCACCATAAATGGCAGCCGTAATCCTCCCATCAAGTACAGCACGTGTTCCTAATGGAACATGTTTTCAAAACAGATTTCCAGTACTGCCTTCTTACAACACCGCTTTACAATGTTTAGTTTGCAAAAACTGACTACAGGAATACTTGCTTTATTGCTTGGAAGTGCAACATTTAACTTTATGGTGCATAGAATGCACTTCTCTTAACAGATGTATCAGTTCCCTGATACCATGACTAAACTGCTTCATACCCATTAAATGCTGTGTGGGGAAGTAGCAAAACTATGGTGTTTATTTTTGTTGTTGGAGCACACACTTCTACTTGCTCACACCATCGTGCTGCCCTGAATAACAACAAATAGCTTTCCCTGCTCTTACCAGGCTTGATCATGTGCATGACATACATTCGGCGGTTATGCCCCAAAAAAGTCCCAGCTTTGCATCCTAAAGGGCATAAGAATTGCAAGCGTTTGGAGATAAGAAAAAAAACTAAAAAATAAACTGTAATATTAAAATATTTGCTACAAAATTAAACTTGTTCTTTGGCTTAGGAGAGGTCAGCCTCCTTCCCAAGTCTACGCTAAACATCCCATTTAATCACATCCTGACAAAAAAATAAAATTTTGCTCTAAGTTTGGAAAATTTTAGAACAGAGAGAACATAATTTAATTGCAATATTCCCTGACAAAATTCAGGCAAAACCAGGTGTGTATGTTTCACAGTTCTTTGAAATGAATGGCTTTGGGGATCCACCACAGTCCACAGCAGCCGTCCCACCGCGCAGTCGCCGGCAGACATGGTACTAACAATAACACTGAAGAAGTGATCTGGAAGAAGACCAAGTCGCAGTTAAATGACATCATTTTGGGACGTTCTTTCTACACAAGTTGTGACATGAAAGAAGGTAAGATCCATTTCATGGTTAGCTTTTCCACCTGCCTGCCGTGACTGGCTTCTATACAGGAGAGTGAAACAGCTTTGAAAACAGTTACTCTCTGCACAGACGTGTTTCTGTTCTCAATACCCATCAGACCGAGGGTTTCTGCAATCTGATAACAGCTGCTCTGGCAGATGAGGAGCTCCCGACTTGATGCCACACAAACAATCTTTGCCCCCTCACATCATGCCCTTCAATGGAGCCTCAACAGGTTTCACCAAAATCTTTGTTCTAAAAATAGTTTCAGAAAACGTATTCTTTGCATCTACAAGTATCATCTTAAAAGAACAAGCAAATGAGCTCCACAAAGCATGTGTTCTTTGAAACAAGTCACAAAGAGTAGGAGTGATTTCTGTGAGAATTAACTTGCTCAAAATACTGGGGTTCAAGCATCAACAGACAGCTACAGAGGAAATATGTGAAGATGAAAAAAGTTATTAGTTTTATGCATTGATGCAAAGGCATCTTCAAATATTTCAATAAAATCATCCTAAACATAATACACTAGAGTATATTATCTCCTGTAGTACCTAGTCTTCATATATCTCACTGGAAATCAGCGTATCCAAAGCATAATTGTAAAGGACAATTCGCTCAACACCAAAGCATATTACCCAAGCCAAGAATGAGATACAGATGTGTAGCCTGGAGACACATCAGACACAACAGTTTTCTTTCTTTTGAAGACATTTGTGTTCAAACTACACATGCGCTAAGCTATAAACATTCCTAAAAATGCCAGGTAGAAAATAAAATCAAAGCAGCAGCATCACAAGTACTTAAACATTCTACCGCCCCACTCACACCAATACCCCAGCAAAGAAACCTTTTGAAATCTCTTCATCTCCATTCAAATGAAATGGAGATTTTTAAAAACAAAAATAAAATACACGTCCTGAAATCTTAAACTCAGAATGATCTCACATGATTGGTTGAGTATAGAAGTCATTTCTGTTTAAAGATATTTTTTGAGTCAAATAAGGTCCGACCTCCTTAAAAAACATAAAAGTAGGGTTTGACTGAGCAGCAATCAAGTGGTCATCTCTACCGTACACTGACAAAACAAGTCAAATTGTGGGGAAGAGATGCTCTCTCAACAGCTCTCTGAAGCTTTCTATTGTTATGTTGTTGCTGCTTTCTTTTTTTCAAAAAAAAATTTCTCAGTAAAATTACTAGGTTTGTTCTACAGGATGAATAATACTGCATAGCAAAAGGAAAGCAAACTCTTACAGTGTATATAATCAGTCCTTAATAGCAAACAAACACTGCTGTTGCTGGATAGTATCAGAATAATGGTCTCCTGCTAGTATGGAAACAAAAAACTTTAAATAAAAATACACACCGGGCACAAAGGAAGCTTCTGGTTAAAATTAATATGGTTTCTGTGTGCAGTGCATCTGACACGTCAGGGTTTCAGGAGCTGACACGTCCTTATGAAGCCAGAGTTCAGGGATTGTACCGGCACCACACGGGCTTGAGGGAAGTAACGGACAGCAGTGCCCAATCTTTACAGCGAGAAACCCACTGCCCAGGAGCCCACAGCCTGAGGGGTTTGTGGTTCCCCTCTTCTGGAAGGCAACCCCGAGCCTGAAGGCATCTCTTTATCCTCAGAATAGTTAGTGTCAGCAGCAGGGCAAGACTCCTCAGGGTGCTGTGCCCATAGTGCACTGCCACAGACTGGTCCATCTCTCTGAAATAAGCCTTTGGAATCGTGGTCTGTGCGGCACGGAAGCCAGCACAGTCACTCCCAAGCTCCAGGGGGGCAGCAGGACATCAAAAACCATAGGGTAAGACAAACCCAGTGCATTTCTTACAGTGGAGCATCAGATACACATAACACTGGGATTCTGCTATTTCCATTAAAAAGCTCTAATTTTTAAGGATCCACAACCACGTTTACTTAATTGACCGGTATCAAGGCATTTAAATACACATTTAAGACATTAAGAAGCTGAATACAAATACTATAGGGAGAACTGATTTTTGCTGTTTCCAAAAGCAGCATAAAGGAATAAAATACTTCTATATCAGTGAGATATTCAAGGGAATTCAGCCTAGGTTGTTCACCTATTGCTTTGTATCTTGTTATTGTTGAATAAATCACTAAATCCAGCATCACAACACAATTTTTACAGTGACTTATCTCTACCTTTATCTGTATTGTGCCACTGAGAAGGTGCTTCAATGAAATGGGAATGTTTCTCAGAGCTGCACATGAAGCTTGGTGAAGCAAATGAGATTACATGACTCGCCATGTGCAAACTCGTAAGTAATCTGTGTCAAACTAAAAATGTTGTGACACACCAGAAGCAAGACAAATAAACAAGGTATCCCACGGGAACAATAAACACTGAAAACATCCAGGCAAAATGTGATACTGTTCACTCATGAAAAAGCAAAAGATCACAGTGCAATAACAAAATATTACAACCTCCAAAATAATTTTGCAGCCAAGATAAATAGAGGTAGTTTCTCCAAGTTGAGTCATATTCCCTGGCAGATAAAATTCACATATTGCACCTTGGTACTTCAGTAATGTATATGTCCCAAATATATGTAGCAAGCATTGCTTTACATTAATAACTACAATTTGATGCTGCCAACACTCCCGAGCAGAGGGCAGGAACAGTTGGGATTAGGATCTGAAACTATACTAGATATATCCTATTGTATTTGAAAACTGCTCTAATAAAATTCATGTCTTATATTTGCTTTTTATAGCAAGCACTTCTCTAAAACAAAAATGAATCACAAGGATTTAGAACAACTTCGACCCCTTTTATGACATCCAGTAGGACACAGAGATCCAGTGAAGCTGAAATCTAACACATTAGCAATTTGATTACGCACTGAGTAAGATCAGGCAACTCAGGTTGGGAGAGGTTGCCTTCCCTCCTCTCCTAATCCCTGGATGTTTTAATTTCCAAGAAGAAAATGTGAAGATGCTTACCTACAAAAGGAAAGACGACTGTGATCTCAACTGGTTTCTAACAGCATTGCCATCCCATCAGGAACCCTTTCCACATCCTTGCAGTTTTGAAGCAGTCCTTTTTTTCTGCATTCTGTGGCTCTACCTGTATTAACTTGTGTGTATTACTGTAAGTACAGTCTCCATAAGAATAGGCGTGTTGCGGGGGGAGGCTGGGGGGGAGTGTGGAATCCTGAAGCCAAAATGTCGGTAGAAGAATTGGTTTGAGAAGTTGGAGTGAGAAAATAGATCCACTGGACAGCTACCCAACATGGAATTTTTGTTTCCACTTGGCCAGTCTCTGAGATTGGCCATTTGGACTAATCGGAGTCTTTGGAGGAACTCCAGATTCTTTAATACACTGAAAATCCATCCTGGTGTTTCTCTTGTTTTAAAGAGGCAGAGGCAAATAGTGCATTATCATCAAGTGCACTAATTGATCCAAATGCAGTGTAAACTAAATTAATGGGGCTGGAAATGCTGGAAAAATTAAACACAGCGTTCTTAATAAAGCTGAAAATAGCTTAATAAAGCTGAAAATAGGATCCAAGCATCCTAAGGCATGTTTATTTCTGTTTAAATAGATGTCTTCCTGTAGACTGTTATCAGCTCAGCAGGAGCCTTACAAGAGAGGCATTTTTCTCATTCTGTGCATTTTAAGTTTGGTTTCTATGAAGTTCAGCCTGCCTGTAAAACCTGCTGCCAATCCACAGAAAAACTCTAACTGTGGCAAAGTAATGCTAATATCCTGAGAGCAAGGGAGCTGCAATACTGAGCTGCAAATTCAATCAAAACCTTTCTCTGAAAAATGGAAGTTTGCTGACCCACCTTCCAGAGAGTGAGATACCGCACACAAAAGGAAGAATGCGCCTAAAGGAACAAGAAGGAATCAATCCTCGTTAGAAAGATTTTCTTCTTTCTATAAACGGATTGTGGAAGTCCTTGGCTGGCACTGATTCCACCTTTCTTCTCTGCTGCTGAAAAGGGCCCATCAGCAGGTGGCACAACAGATGGGGCTGAATCGAGCTCTTCTTGGTAAGCGCATGCTAAATGAGATGTGAGAGGACAAAGCACCCCAGACCCATGTGAGAAATGGCCAAGGGGGCTCTTTGAATTGCATCTTGAATACAATCTCTTGAGCTATTTCTGAAGGGAAGGGATGCCAGCTGGGCTTCAAGAGGAGTGAGAATTTCCAGCAGGAAACTTGGAGTTTTGTTCAAACTCTGTGCAAGAGAAGGGACAGATGTGTTGTATTTCTCTTTTCCAGAAGTTTCAGGAAGGAACAGGGGAAGAAGAAAGCAAATGAAACCAAAAAAGTTGGGACATGTGAAACTGTGAAAGAAGTGAGGAACTGAAAACACACACAGAAAAAAGGGAGCACCTTTAGATGCTTTACATCTGATTGAGAACCAATCTCCAGGCAAACAGAATACTGTTGGCTACACGAGTTCTGGCCACACCTTTTAATAATTTAAATTTTGAAAATGAAAGAGAAGCACAC